ATCTATATGTGTAACATCGAGTTGTCCCCCCCATTTATTTACTTACCCCTAGGTAATACCAATGTTCACTTTGTCTGGTTTTGTTGCAGTATGCCCCATGTAATCAAATTTGGAAAACTTGTTACCAAATTTGGATGAATTTTTCTCTAACAAGCTAGCCACCCACGGTGTGATATCAAATCGTCCTAGTTTTTCGGGGTACTGATAAAACTAATGGCTGCTTGTATGTTTCACATAATTCGTGTTAAATAAAATTTTTTTTGTTTTACTTTTAAACTTTTTTTTTTAGACATATCGAATATATATATATAATAATACTATATCTTATATAGACTTGAAGAATATCAGAACCATTTTTATACACTGTTGAATGCAGTTACCCATTCTCTATCATTTACTGCCCACTATAAGTTTCGTTATCCTTTTTGCCAGTTGCTTACCTTGTTTGAAATGGCAACTTTGCGGCAGAAATGGGCTATCCATAGAACATATCGTCGAATACAAAATTGTTGGCAAGAATATATAGCAGTTTCTGATAAGGAGTAAGTTTATGTGTTTTTAAATCGATGCTTTTTTATGCATTACAGAAAGTAAAACTTTTTGATCTACTTTTCTTAGCATATACATCTATCTATCCTTGGTTTTAAAATAGTAAATTTTTTTCTTTAGTAGTGATTATCAATTCTTATCACTGTTAATCAATTTAGATTTAGATTTTGAGTTACTCGAATCTGTCTCAATTGAAAAATATAATTATTGACCTATGGTAATAAAACCTTATCAAAAATTATTGAATTTTTTACAAGTAGTTTTCAATTATACACGTATTAAGAAATTATATTTGTTTATTTTGTTATTTTTATTTCAATTATTAAATTTTCCGATCAAATCTTTGATCTATGAATAATCATTAAAACAATTTAATTCTAATTGTTTCTTATTATTATTATATTGTTTTTTAAAAAAAATAGATATGAGACAATAAATGATTTGATGAATTTGCAAGATCAAATTGATCAATTTCAAAAATTGATTTTTGTACAATTTCGTCCATCATCTAACAATGAATGTAGAATAGCTGCTCTTGTTCCATTAGTGGAAGAAAGCTATGGTATTTATAAATTTTTAACCAGCATGCTTAAAGCTATGCATCAGCATACAGACGCTGTTGACGCCTTAACGCCCCTTCGTACCAGATATAATGCACAACATTATGCTTTATTAAAATTTTATTATGAATGTTCAAACTTAAAATATTTAACCAGTTTAATTAGTGTGCCAAAATTACAACAGGTATACTAAATTTTTATATTATATATTTATATTTATATTATATTATATTAACCCCTTTTTTCCTTCACTCACGGAACAACACTCGCGCCCCCACAGTGTAATCGTAGCCGGTGCTCCGCTCCCACTGCCGCCTG